AGTTAAAAAGCAGAGAGATGCAACACATTATCAAAATGTTCAATTTTAAAACACCGTGTTTTCCCACCTTTTGTTAAAGAAGTGAAAATACATACAAAAGTAACACTTTTCATTTACTTATTAACTTATCTAACATGGTATGGCAAACATTGAGAAGAATGTTAATTGTGCATTGTGAAACCTATACCTAGCCCAGGAGACTGTGCAGAGCAGGGGAAGTCTAGATGGTTTAAAATTAAAAGAGTGTGTCAGAGTTGTATTCTCTCTCCATATGTATTCAATCTGTATGCTGAGCATATTATTTGAGAAGCTGGACTCTATAATAAGGGAGCTTTGGTTACTTTGTGTTTTGCCAATTCTTTCAGAGCAGCTTGAACTTCTTCCTTCATCACTACAGGCTCTTGCTCATACATTGTTTCATGAAATTCTTTTCAGTGTCCACCAATTCCTTTTGGTAGAATAACTCTTGTACACTCTTTCCTCCTCCTCCTCCTCCTCCTCCTCCTTCTCCATCTCCTTCTTCTTCTAGAAAGATGCATCTGTTCCAGGCCATGTTATTTGCAATTAATTGTGACCTGGACAATGACTAGGGATGATAGAGGGAGAGTTGATGCCTTTGAGCTGCGGTGCTGGAGAAGAGTACTGATTATGCCATGGACTGCTAGGAGAACAAACAAGTTTGTCCTGAAGAGGGTGAAGGCTTCTTGGAAGCAAGGATTCTGAAGCTTCGTCTGACATACATTAGACATGTTGCAAGAAGGGACCAGTCTTGGGAGAAGGATGTCATGCTTGGGAGGGTGGCAGGACAGTGCAAGAGAGGAAGACCCTCTGAGATGGATTGATTCAGTGACTGGGGTAATGGGGATAGGCGTGTCGGTGACAATAGATTGGCAAGGGGTAGAGCAGGGTTTAGGGCTGTTGTACATAGGGCTGTTACGAGTCGCAGGTGACTCAATGGCACGTAACAACAAAAATAACCCTTTTATTTAATGTGCTATATTTAGGGGCTTTATTATCAGAAAGTGAAGGGAAAGGTTTACATTGATAAGGTATATGCATTCAAGGATACTTTCACATGATGTCTAACCTGTATTGTGGTGATAACAAAATGAAGGCAACTTGACTATTTGGTTTACATGCTGACATCAGCCTATAATTTTACAAATAATCAGATTTAAACTGTATTTCTTAAAGAGGGCAATTATAACACAGAATTAATAAAAATAAAATAATTACAACCATGGAATTTTTTAAAAAACAGAGGTTCAGATAACTTGCAACACAAGATGCTTTACCTTTAATAAAAAAAAATTTATTATTATTTGAATGTGTGTGTACCGTCAAATCAGATCTGACTGATACAGGAGGAGATTGTCCCTCCTTCTCTAACAGAGCATCTGGTGGATTCGAACCAGGCACCTCTGGGATTGCAGTGCAGCTTCTTGCCACTAGGCCTCCAGAACTTGCCAAGGATGTTTTACTTTTTAAAGTAATTTGTATTGCAGTAATGTTTATTTTGTACAGAATTTCAGATGTGGACAAAAGAAATGAGACCAGCATCTATGAATTTCTCCTACTGGGCCTCTCTGAGCATCCAGAACTGCAACCTTTCCTATTTGGACTCTTCCTGGCCATGTACTTGGTCACAATTATGGGAAACTTGTTCATCATTCTGGCCAATGGCTTTGATATCCAGCTCCGTACACCTATGTTCTTTTTTTTGGCCAATCTCTCCATATCTGACATTTGTTTCATCTCTACCAGAGTTCCCAAGATGCTAGATAATATTGGTTCAGGAAGTAAACTAATTTTCCACCTTCTTTTATGGTTTCCTGGATCATTATTAATAGTCTGCCCAAAACATCCTGAAGTATTGTCATTTGACACTTGAATTTGTTCTTTAGTTCCTTGAGCTTAAGAAATGCTAAGCAAGTTTGGTGCCTTTGATTTTCTGACTCCAGCTCTTTCACATTTCATTAAAATACTTTATCTTCCCAAGCTGCCCTTTAAAACCTTATGTTCAGCTCCTTAATATCTTGATTTCTTCCCTTTGCTTTGGCTTCTAAGTGCTCTAGTACAATAGTCAGAGTCTCTTCTGATATCTATCTTGGTCTTTTCTTCCTCCTCTGTCTTTGTAATGATCTTTTGCATTCTTCCTGGATGATATTCTTGATATCCTCTCACAGCTCATCTGATCTTCACTCATTAGTGTTCAAGGCCTCAAACCTGTTACTAAGAAAGTTTTGGAATTTAGGTGGTGATAGAGAAGAGTATTGAGTATACCATATACCACGGACTGCTAAGAGAATAAACAGGTTAGTTCTAGAAAGGATGAAACCAGGCTTCCCTTGGAGGCAAGGATTCTGAAGCTTTGTCTGACATACTTTGGGCATGTTGCAAGAAGGGTCTTTGGAGAAGAAAAGCACAGGAGAGGAAGACCTTCAATTAGATAGATTGATACAGTGACTGGGGTAATAGGGTCAGAGACAATAAGATTGACACAGGATAGAACAGGGTTTATGGCTGTTGTATATAGGGTCACTATGTGACTCAATAGCACATAACAACAACAACAACTGGTGGCCTAGCGGTAAGAAGTTGCACTGCAATCTCGAAGGCGTGTGATTCAATGCCACCAGCTGCTCCACAGGAAAAGGATGTTCAATCTCCTGAGCGATTAACTGCCTCTGAAAACTCACTATAGGGTCAGCTATGAATTGGTTCCAACTCAAGAAATGTAGTGTCAGGATCAGAAGGAGAGACTCATCAGTAACCTGCATTATGCAGATGACACAACCTTGCTTACTGAATATAAGGAGAACTTGAACTTCTTGTTGCAGAAGATCAAGGAATACAGCCTTCAATATGGATTGCATGTCAATATCAAGAAAACAAAGATTCTTGCCACTAGACTGATAGGCAACATCATGATTAATGGAGAAAATTTCATCTTAGGTGGTACCAGCAGCCAGGAAATCAGGAGACATACTGCACAAGGAAAGTCTGCAGTTAGGGACCTCTCCAAAGTATTGAGGAATAATGATGTCAATTTGAGGACTGAGGTGCATCTGATTCAGGCCGTGGTCTTTCTGAGCACTTGGTATGCCATCTGAGAGCTGGACAATGAATAACAAAGTCAGAAGAAGAATCAATGCCTTTTTTTTTTTTTTAGAATCAATGCATTTAAGCTGTGGTGTTGGAGAAAAGAGCTGAGCATCCCATGGACTGCCAAAAGAACAAATATATCTTGGAAAGGATGCAGCCAGAGTGTTCTTTGGAGGCAAAGATGACGAGATTTCACCTCACATACTTTGGGCATGTTGCTAGGGAAGGCTATTAAGGGACATGATGCTCAAAAAGGGTTGGCAAAGGAGACGAAGACCCTCAACCAGGTGGACTTACACAGAATGGCAATGGGAAGTGTGAGGATGACACAAGATAGGACAGTGTTCAGATCTCTTATTCATAGGGTTGCTATGGGTCAGATTTGATTCAATCACGATTGCACTTAACAAAAACAATGTGTCTAATGTCCACCATTCTAAAGTTTTAACAGTGTTGTCTTTGTTAAGGGCAATTCTGTGGTTTTTTGAAGAAAAATACTTGGCTTTTGTCCTCTTTGTTATTGTTCTGTTAGCAGCTCAACGCAAAAAGCCACCAGGACTCCTTTCAAGAACAATACTCTCATTGCTGTGAAGTGAGAACCTACTCATAGTTGACCCTTCAGTGGATCTTCTGATTCTAAGAACTTTTGGTTAGTGTGGCAACTCCCTAAGGACTTCGCAACCAGAGCTCCCCTCAAGCATAATACTGTTGCTAATTAATTGTTGTTGTGCACCATTCAATTGGAACGACCTGTGGCTGACCCTCCAGCAGTTTTTCAGAGGCAGTAAATCTCAAAGAAGAAGATTACCCATCCATCTATCTCCTGTGCAGCAACTGCTGGATTCAAACTTTGTGCCTTTGAGTTAGCAGAGAAATTTCTTGCACTATTTTCTCAAAAACTGGCTTTGCTTTTCCCACTGCTTTGCTGCAGCTCCTGTTCATTTTAACATTTAAATCTGTGAATCTGTAAACAGAAAATGTGTTTTATATTTCCCTGATGCAGTAGCTGAAATGTATTTAAATAAAGGTTGACTTTAAAACAAAAGAAAATTATTTTATTTGTGGAAAAAAATGCATGTGGTAAATTAATGAAAATTGAGCACAATGCTTTATATATAAACATTCAACAACCATGTATTGAGTAAAGGAATGCTATTGGATTTAAAATGCTTCTCTTTGTTCCATTTCATTGTAACATTATTGTAAAGGCATTTAGAATAATTTCTGTCATTAAATTCACACATTTTAGCTTTTATCTAAATTTTACTGTAGAGCTAAAGGACTTGGAAGAAGTGTAGAGCTTGTTGTGGAGGAAAATTTACAATTTAAGTGGCCAAGTAGTGAATACAAAACAAAACACCAAGTTTACTGCCCACTCAATGGAAAATCCCTGTGTGGAGAAATAATGATGAATAAAATTAATATATTAGTATAAGTATTACTTGATTTGTGGACTTCTGGTGGTGCAGTAGTTAAGCGCTTGCGGGGCTAACTGAAAGGTGCAGGTTGGCACTCACTCGCTCTTGAAGCAGAAGGATGTAGTCTGTTCCCTTTATGGCCTTGAAGATCATATAGGACAGCTCTATTCTGTGCTAGAGGGTCACGGAGTACTAAAGGGCTCAATGGCAGTTGGTTGGGGGAGAAGGTGTGATAATTTTTGAGAGATTAATTTTGAAGACGTTTAAAAGATACACACAGCCCTAACTACGAATCTATACTTAAGAGGAATGGATGGTGTAAGCACAGAAATTGCAAGGGCATAAATTTCATGGTGATAGCTGTGAGAATTTCAATCAATGCTGAATTGTAATTGAGACTTTATTTCATTTCAGTTGCGTGAATTCACTTAGAGGGCTGCTTGATCAGAGCTCAGGGAACCCGGTAAGAGAGGCGTGTTACTCTGTTACAGTGACACAAAGAAGGGTCCGCGACCGAGGCGGCTCTCGCCGGCTGCAGGTGTCCCGAGGCGGCCTCTCATAACCCCGATCCTTCCGCGCAAAGTAGTGCGTCGTCCACTCGCTTCCGCCCAGGGCGCGCTGGGAGTCCCCTTTAAGACGGCGTGGCGTGGAAGCCTCCCAGGGGACGCGGGGGCGGGGCGGGACTGGGTGGGGAGGGGTGAAGTGGGGGCGGAGGTGGGGGTGGGGTGAGTGCGGAGTGGAGGCGGGGAAGGCGTCCTTAAACTTCCGAGGGGGACAGTCGCTGGAACCCTAGGTCGGATCTGGCGCAGGCCAGAGCTCTTACGCTATGGTGGCTGCAACAGGGCCGATGGCGGATTGGGGCTGTGCGCTCGGGCCTGACCAGGGCCCCAGAGCGTCTGGGGAAGGGGGTAGGCAGGTGTCCCGGACACTCCCCCGCCCCTACAGCTGCGGGGGCGCCCTGGCGCGAGGAGCGCGTGACCTAGTTTGTCCTGAAGTGGATTTGACAGGTTGTCAGCTCGGCTCCCCACCCCCACCCCTTCCGGGTACCTCGCCCTGAGAGCCCCACCTCGGCTCCGCCCTGCGCGCTTCCGCCATTAAGCCCCTCCCCACGGCCACCTCGCTACTCCCATTGGCCGGCGCCCGGTTCGGTCCTTCCCAGAGCTGGGTACCCCCCTCCCGTGAGCCTCTCCCCGCAGCTCCTGCGTGAGGCCCACGGTCCCAGGTCATTGAGTTGGTGCCAATGTTTCTTTACACCTTTCCTGAGCCCTGCTTTCTCTCTGCTCCTAGTCTTAATCCCTACTAACTGTGTCTTCTGTGACTTCACTCCCTCCTGGGGCTTGCTCCCTTCTGGGGCTGTCTCCCTCTGCTCTCCATTCTCCCTTCTCGGGACACCTTGCACTGTGCTGCGCCCTCTCCAGCTCTTTTTCCCCTCTTTGCCTTACTGCCCCACAGTCACTACTTCCGTGGCTCTCCAGCTATCTGTATCTTTTCCACTCTCCCTTTCCATTCTCTTCTTCCTTCGACCCTCTTTTCTTGTTTTATTCTTCCTTCATAGACTACTAATCTCAAAGACTTCTCTCTACCTTAAATCTAAAAATCTTTCATTTTCTCTGTCTCCACCCTACCAATTTGTTCTTTACTTCTGTGTCTCACTTTCCCCCTGCCTACTCCCCTCCTCCCAGTCTGTCTCCCTAAATTTAACCAAATGGAAAAGATCTCCCAGCATAACAAGGGAGAAGGTGAGAATAAAAGCAATAATTATCAATATTGAGATTTTTCTTAGCTTTTGGTTTTTGAAACAAGATGAACTGGAATGTCCAGATAAACTGAAACCGAGAATCAAGATTGAGCTCTTAAATGAGATTATAAGGTAAAGGTGTTTGTTTCAGCAATGCAATAGAGAAAATACTTTTTTTTTTGAGAAATTATTTTTATTTTGATTGGTTATGCAATATTGTTCGATTAACAATCTACAATGTGTTTTTTAAATGTTTGTGCTAGTTCTGTAAACAAACAGCTGCCTTTGGAAGTAAGGATAAATTGACAAATCTAGTTTGAAGCTAATCCTCACACAAATCACATGGTTTCAGTCACAAGAAATTCTTGGTTATTGAAAAGCAGAACTCTGGTGTAGACCCTGAGTCATTGAGGGAGAGATCAAACTTGAACCCGCATCAGAATCCAAAGGTCCATTATGTTTCACAGATATATCTGGAAGAATTAAAAAACAAATTATTTCCAGTGGAATTCCCATGGGGAATTACAGGGGTCCTCAAAAATAGCTCCCACCAAAAAAACATTCTACTCCCTTTACAGGGAGGTAAGGAGTGCTATCCTTCCAACTCTGTCAACTCCAAGCAAACTGGAGTCTGTCAAACTATTTATTGCCACAGGGCTTTTGCAAATACTGTTTTCTGGCCTGCCTAGAACACACATCTGTAGTTGTGTTTAAATGACACCTATCTGATGCATTTCCTGCTGATGAGTACCTCCCAGGGTTGTGAGTAACCAGATAACAGCCACACACATACAAGGAATACCACTATCATTTAAATGTGTTCAGAACAGAGCCAAACAGGAGGAAATAGAAGATAACCTACCAAATTTTGCAGTCAGAAATTGATTGAATATGTATGTAACCTAGTTTCATTAATAATTGGTGAATAGAATACAAAAAAGTTGGGAACAAGGTAGAAGGATCAGTAGTCAGAAACTATGGATTTGGTGACAGATATGGGGCTAGAGGCAAAATGATAGAATTTTGTACAATCAATGATTTCTTCATTGTAAATATCTTTTGTGAAAAATAGAAATGTAGCTATACAAGTGGACTTCACCTGGTGGAATGTACAGGAATCAAATTTATTACATCTGTGGAAAGATTTGTTGGAGAAGTTCTTTGTCAGCTGTGAAAACTAGGCCAGATGCTTGTTGTCAAACAGACTATCAGTTACTCATGTACAGGTTCAAATTTAAAGAAAATAAAAATCACAAAAACCAAAATATGACCTTGAGTCTATCCCAGCTGAATGAGGCTTTGAATAAATGAAGATCAGATGAGCTATGGGATAACACCAAGAATATCATCCATGAAGAATGTAAAGGATTCCTTTACAAAAACAGGAAGAAGAAAAGACTGAGATGGATGTCAGAAGAGACTCTTTGTTTTTTTAGAAGAGACTTGAATTTAACACTAGAATGCTGAAGAGACAAAGCCAAGGGGGGAAATCAGGAAATTAAGAAGCTGCGAATAGAAGATTTCAAAGGGCAGCTTGGGAAGACAAAACAAAGTATTATAACAAAATGAAAGCAAAATATTATAACAAAATGTACGAAGAGCTGGTGTTACAAAATCAAAAGGGAAGAACCTGCTTGTTATTTCTTAAGCTGAAAGAACTGAAAAATTAAAGCCTCAAGTTGCAATACTTAAGGATGCTATGGGCAGAATATTAAATAATCTAGGAAGCATTAAAAGAAGTTGGAAGGAATATGAAGAGTCACTCTACCAAAAAGAATTGGCTGACAGAGAAGAATTTCATGAAACAAATGATCAAGAAGCAATGACAACCTCTTCAACAAATGGTGCTGGCAAAACTGGACTACTACCTGCAGAAAGCTGAAACAGGATCATCATCTCAGACCGTACACAAAAGTCAAGGTGGGTCAGAGAGTTTGGAATAAAGCCAAAATCATAGAGTTCATCAGAAGCAAACTGGATCAAGCTTTGATGGCCTATTCTATGATATAAATTTCTAGCCAAATACAGCTAGAAATGCACAATCTGGAGAGGATAAAATTGATGAATAAGACCTTCTAAAGATTAAACCCCAGTGCACTTCAAAAACTTTTTCCAACAGAGTGAAAAGAAAAGCTACCAACTGGGCAAAAAACATTTGGCAATACCATTTCAGACAAGGGTCTCATATCAAAAGTTAACAGAATCTGACAGGGCCTCCATAAGAAAAATACTTAATAATCCAATTACAAAATGAGCAAAAGATGTGGAAAGACTTCACAGAGAAGATATTTGGATCACCAAGAGACATATGAAGAAATGCTCAAAAATCACTGGCAGTAAGAGGGATACAAATCAAAACCACAATGTGATACTGTCTCACTCCAGTACTAGTGGCAAAGTTTGACAGGATAGCAAGTAATAAACATTGGTGCAGATGTGGACAGATAGAAACTCTCATACGTGGTTGGTGAGATTGTAAAATGGTACAACCACTCTGGAAAGTAGCTTGGCAGTTCCTAAAAAAGTTGAACATAGAAATTTCATATGACCCAGCTATTCCACTACTTGGAAAATATACCCCGAGAAAGTTAGAACTGAGGCACAAATGGAGATTTGTACATCAATGTTCATAGCAGTGTTAGTCACCATCTTAAGAACATGCAAACAGTCCAAATGTCCAACCATAATCATATAGATTGAGAAACTATGGTACCTTCACATGGTGGAATACTATGCAGAAAGCAGGAGGAATGATTTTGAAAATTACTACCTAACTTGGAAGGGACTGGAAAGTATCATGCTAAGTGAACTAAGTTTCATAAGGACAAATACTGCGTAAGATAATTATTGTAGAAATGGAAAGATAACTAGTAAAATGTGTATGAGGAACCAATGGGTGGAGGGTAGAAGTACAGGGGTGAGGATGGGTAGGAGTGTAATCATGGGGTTATGCAATTTGATGGGTAGAGCAAGCAGTAGATAAAGGAAATGGGAAAGATCTGATGTGAAAAAACAATGTATATGAACTTTGTAAGTAAACCAATATAACATTTTCTTTTTTAAAAAAAAAAGCAGTGGTGATGAAGGAGGAAGTACAGGCTGATCTGAAGGAACTAACAAAAAAATAAGGCCCCAGGAATAGATGGAATATCAATTGACGTATTTCAACAAACAAATACAGCGCTGAACGTGCTCACTGGGTTGTGCCAAAAGATCTTTAGGACAGCTACCTGATGAACTGACTTAGACTATACTTAGACCAGGAAGTAGTTGTCAAAACAGAGCAAGGAAACACTGCATAGTTCAAAATCAAGAAAGGGATGTGTCCTTTCTCCATACCTTTTCCATCTATATGTGGAACAGATCATTCGAGGGGCTGGACTTTATAAGGAGGACAGTAGCATTAGGACGGAAAGAAGATTCATCAACAACCTTCTTTATACAGATGACACAACCCTGCTCAAGTAAAACTGAGGAGGACCTGAAGCACTTGTTACAGAAAGTCAAGGACACTAATATTCAATATGGCTTGAAGCTCAACATCAAGAAAACAAAGATTCTCACCATTGGACCAACTGGCAGCATCGTGATGGAGAAGAGATTGAGGTTGTTAACAATTTTCAGCTTGCTCAGATCCACAATCAACACTCTTGGCAACACCAGTCAGGATAGGAAATTCTGCTATCAAGGACCTCTCCAGAGTGTTAAAGAACAGTGATGTAAGTCTAGAGATAAAGGTGTGCCTGATCCAGGTCATGATCTTTTTATTTACTTGATACACATCAGAGAGTTGGACAGTGACTAAGGATGACAAGAAAGTCAATGCCTTTGAGTTGTGGTGCTGGAGAAGAGTATTGAGCATACCGTGGACTGTCAAGGGAACAAACAGGATGAAACCAGGTTGTTCCTTGGAGGCCAGGATTTTGAAATTCCACCTCATATACTTTGAGCATGTTGCCAGGAGGGTTCAGTCTTTGGAGAAGGACATCATTCTAGGAAGGATGGAGGGAAAGTGCAAGAGAGG